AGAGAGAGAGAGAGAGAGAGAGAGAGAGAACGAGAGAGAGAAAGAGAGAGATAGGCTTGAACAAAATATATGTTGTTGATAAATTGAATTGTGTGTGTTTTAGTGATTTCCCAGCTGTAATGCTAAGGATAACAATGTGTATGCAGAGGGGTTGCGTCAGAGAGAAAAAGAAACAAAAAGAAAGAGACAGATAGACAGAAAGTGAGAGAGAGAGAGAGAGAGAGAGAGGGGGGGGGACGGACAGACAGACAGACAGACAGACAGACAGACAGACAGTACAATTTCCCACAACTATACCTGGCATGAATCTTTAAATGCTCCAAGTTTAATATAATACTCACTCGGTGTAAAAATCCTGATCATCAAATCTAAGAGAGCCACTCTAAATAGAGTGCATTTAATTATATTTGCAGACTTCCATAATAAACTCTGCGTTGCTCGTGGGTTTTTCTCCAATATTTGATTGAGTCTTGAGTATAGAAAAACGTATCGACACACTAATGGCCATTTATACAGCTGGAAAAAAAAACAACCAAGAACGAAATGAGACACAAAGGAAGAACAAAGAATTAGGACTAGGACCTACCACTGGCTCTTGCCCAGCAAAACTTGAATTTGGTATTTTACAAGACAACGTTGACTCATCTTGATAAACAATTAGCACTGCTGGCCTTCGATATAATAGTTTGAGTGTGAGCTTTTGCAAAGAGAAGCACATCGACAAAATAACGGTCCTTTAGAGCAGGGAAGAAGCAAGACTGACAGCCAGAAATAACAGAAAGAAAAAAAAGGAGCAGGACCTACCAATGGCGTCCTCTAACCATCCGTTATGGACTAGACAAGTACTCACCGTTTGGTATAATCTCCATACTCAACAACAGAAATAATCCATGAGCGCGGTGTCACAAATTTCGCCATAACTACAGCGTCCTTATTTCGATGGCAACTACCACAAACCAGCAGCACCACCACCACCGACTACAGGCCCAGCTGGCGTCCTTGTGCGCCGGGATAGAGACAACTCAAGGAGAGGCAACTACAAAGACACCACTGGCCGCGGAGACACTGTGGGAACGAAGAACAGGGAGACCCAGCACACAGCAGCAGCAGCAGCAGCAGCAAGCCGGGCCGGTGGTGAGCCAACTGTGTGAACTTGTCGATGACCGTCGTCGCCAACACAAGAGAGAGATGGGAGGGAGGGAGACAGGAGAGAGAGATGGGGGGGGGAGAGAGAAAGATAGAGAGGGATGTAGAGAGAG